TCAATAAATTTTGATATTCATATATAGGGTTAATTATCTGATATTATGTGGAGTTTGATAAAAGAAATCTAGTATAATTCAAAAAATTCAAGAAAATAATGTGTGGAAATCAAAAATCTCTTTACTGTTCTAAGCTATTATGACTTATTCTTTATGAATGTTGAATTTCAGATAGAACTTTAATCAAGATTATCTGTAAAATCTCCAGATTATAATATCTCATTTTTGATGATTAAAAATTTTTCTTATGATTCAATTGCTAATTCTTTAAAATTATGACCTAATATGAAATATTTCAAATTTGATTTAAACTCAACTAAAAAAAGATTCTTAGATAAATATATTTATATTAATAACAGAATACTTTGTGGAATTGCTAACCAAAATCTGAAATATCTAAGTTTTGATTCTTCTAAACTCTTTGATAAATCTTTAAGCAAAATCACTAATTTGTATTCAAACTTAAACTATCTCAATCTGAAACATAATAAAAATATTACTAATGTATCTATAATTAATATTACACATTCTTATTTCAAAATATTTTATCTTAATTTGTGGTATTATAATATTATAGACAAGATATTAAAAGTAGTAGCATATTTCTGTTCCAGACTTCAATATTTGAGCTTGATATCTTGTGCAGGAATATTTAATGTGGAAATTTGTATGACCACTACTTCATACTAAAATATTATAAATATTTCTTTTGAGGGTTATAAAGTGAGTGATATATCAGTTAAAAAAATTATACAATTATGTCCAGAACTTTGATATTTCAATCTTGATTAGTATTATATAACTGACAAGTCTATCTGTGAAATAGCAAGATTATATTCAAGACTAGAAGTTTTACTTCTTCTAAATTGCTTTATTACTGATATATCAATTCATAAAATTATTCAATTATATAAGAATTTGCATAGTCTTAATCTCAAAAAATATGACTCTGTTACTAATAAGACAATCAGTGTTCTTATAAGTAGTAATCTATATATTGATATTAAAGAGTCTTAAGTAATTTACTATGTTACATTTATTAGACTGGCTATTATATAAAGTAAAAAATCAGGTGAATATATATATAATAATAAGGATCAATATTTTTTCAGATATAATAATTAGTGACTTATTTCAATTAAAATAAAAATAGAAAAGCTTGAACTGGCATTTTAAAGATAAGAATGATTATTAAAAAATATATATTCATTTCTAATATCTTCAAAATTATCATTAAGTGATGCAATTCATATAGCCAAATCTCATGAAGGATGATATCTTTCTGAAGAATATATTAATTGTGAAACTTTAATGCTTTGGAAATATGCTAAAGGATATTAATAGATTATTCTATTTTGCCATATCAAAAACAAAAATTTGTGATGTCCAATCTATAAAAGTAATAAATTAAATATTTTGATAGCTAGAGAATTAGCATGAAATTGAGGAGATTAATATCTTTCAAAAAATTATATTAATTCTTACATATCAATATTATGAGAGTATAGTAAAAAGTATCAATGAATTGCTCTATTTCATAGTATTAAAAATCATTGTTCATGATATTCTTATTGCATAAGTAAAAAACTTAATATTTTAGTAGCTCAAAAGCTAGTACTTAATAAGAATAAAAGATATATTTCAGAAAAATATATTAATAACTCTTCACCTCTTTTGTGGGAATATGAAAATAAGTATTAATTTTGTCTTTCTTTTGCAGATGTTAAAAATACTGGAAATTGGTATCATGAATATATAAAACTTGGACTCAATTATGCAAAAAATCTTGCAATTGAAAGAGGTGGAATTTGTCTTTCTATTTCTTATCATAATAGATATATATCACTATCTTGGAGCTATTCCAAAGGATATTCATGATTAGCTTGAATTGATAGTATTCAAAGAGGAACTTGGTATCCATGCTATATAAAAAATAGACATAAAAATTTATATCAAGAAATTATGTCAAAATATCTTGAATCCCCATCTAAAATACGTTAACCTATTTTCTTAAAAACACTTAAATTTCCACAAGATTTAGAACTAGATATTTATTATTCTCAATATGACTTAGCTATAGAAGTTCAAGGAGAATAACACAAATATTATAATAATTTCTTTCATAAAGAGAAACCAGAAAACTTAATCAAATAACAGAGATGTGATCAAATTAAAAAGAATCTTTGTGAAGAAAACTGGATTGTTTTAAGAGAAGTTTGATATTACAAAGATCTATATAAAGTTATTTCAGATATTCTTTATAAATTAGGTCTTATAGAATAGAAGCAAAACTTTAAATGCTTATCTGGTTCGATTAATATTTTTTCAATATAATAGATTAGTATTCTTAGTTTATTTGGAATAAAAGAAGAAAAAATATCCATATTTGTATATAATATTGATGAGATATCAAACAAATCCTCAGAACAAATAAAATCTAATAAATATATCCTCCAATTGGCCTTTTAGACTTCTCATGACAGGTAGTTCCAATAGTGGAAAAATCAATATGATAATTAATCTTATACTAAATAATAAATTACAATGAATATTTAAAGATAAGAAAGGAAATTATTATTTCAAAAATGATGATCTCATATTAATAGGCAAATATTTTGAGCCAAAATAGCAACTTATACAAAATAGCTTTCAGATTTTTACGAATATCTCTAAATCATATTGAGAAGATATCACATTCAAAAGAATATCTCCAGATAAAATTCCAGATATAACTAAATTCTCTCCAGAGCAAAGTATAGTTATTGTATTTGAGGATCTATGCGCTGAATTAAAAAAAGTACAAGAATGAATTATTCCTTACTTCATTAGTGGTCAACATCAAAATATCTCGCCAATATATATATCACAGAAATATACACAAACACCTAAAATTATTTGTGAAAATTTAAATCATCTTGTACTATTTAACAATGGAGGGGTCCAGAGAAAATCTCATTCAAATTCTGCATCAGTTTGTAGATGATCCTAAAAAAGCATCCAAAATTATTGACAAGCAACTACGAAATTGAAATTTTATAGTTTTTGATTTCACTAAACCAACTGATAATCCTTTAAGTATACATCTTGGTTGGGATACTCCTTTAAAATTAAATAAATAGGATAGGATTTCAAAGATTAAAAATATTTCTCCTCAATATCTCCAAAACTATCACTAAATGATACTTATGTTATTGCTGAATTCTGTGATGAGAAATATCTTTTAACTGAATATAAAGATAACAAAACTCCATTAATATGAATTTGCTCTAAGAATCATATATAAAGTACCCCACTTCATAGAGTTAAAAGTTCTGGATCATGGTGCTCATATTATATAGGTATCATAAAACTAACTCTTGAAAATATCAAAAAAATTGCATTATCTAAACATGGAGACTGTCTTTCAACTGAGTATAAAAATAATTAATTATCATTGATTTGGCATTATAAAGAAAATCATTTATGGTATGCATCTGTTAGCAATATAAAAAGTAGTAAATGATACCCATATTGTGCAGATAATACCTGACTTACTCTTGAAGATATCAAGCAAATTGCACTCAACCAAAATGGCAAATGTTTTTTAATCACTTATAAAAATTCTGATACATTAATGACATAGAAATATCATCAAGGTCATATTTGAAATAGTCCATTTCATAATATTAAATATTCCAAAGCATGGTGTTTGATAATATAAAGTTAACTCTTGAGGATGTAAAGCAAATTGTATTATCCAGACATGATAAATATCTTTCAATTGAGTATAAAAATATTAATAATCTGCTCATTTGAAAATGTCAATTCAACCATTAATGGCAAAATGATCTTAACCATGTTAAAAATAGAGTCTATTTTCTATTAGTCAAAATTAGTTAATAAAGGATATGCGTAAACTTGCACAAATAAAAAATGGAGATTGTCTTTCAGATCAATATTATGATTTGCAAACAAAATTGGAATGGATTTGTGAAAAAGATCATAGATGGAAGGCTATTCCTAATAGTATTCAACAAGAAAGTTAGTATCTATATTGTATAAATAATATAAAATTAACTCTTGAGAATGTGAAGCAAATTGTATTATCTAAACATGAGAAATATCTTTCAGAGAAGTATATTAATAGTCAATTACCATTATTATGATGTTGTAAAGAAGGTCATCTATGATAAGCATCTCTTGGTAATGTAAAAAGTGATATTTGATATCCATTTTGTTATAAATATAAATGTGAAAAATTATATCAAGAAAGTTTAACAAAGTATCTTGGTCCATCATCTGAAAATTACAGACCAGATTTCTTGAAAATGCCTAAGTATCTAATAGATTTAGAACTTGATATTTCTTACTACCATTATGGTTTTGCGATTAAAGTACAAGAAGAATAATATGAAAAATATAATAAATTCTTTCATAGCAGAGATCTTAATAAATTTATCAAACAACAAGAGTGGGATTGACTAAAAAAAGAATTATATGAAGAAAACTGAATCATTTTAAGATATATTTAGTATTATGAAGACCCATATATAATTATTCTGGAGTATCTTTAAGAATTGAGTCTTATTGAGTAAACTTAAAATTTTAAATATCCATAAGGATTAAGTAATAAAATCTCAAGTGCATTATTTTTATAATACATAATATGATATATGTATATATGTACGTAAAAATAAAAAATCTGAAACTTTATTAGCTTGATATTATTTAATTGATATAGTATCACTTCACAAAATAACAATATATATGTTAATTATTCATTAATTAAGGATGTTATTTATTTCATTTTTATCATTCTTAACCATATTAATGATATTTTTGGTGCTTTTTTTTCTTCTTTACCTTTTTTATAATGATGTATACATTTGGGAAAAAATGAGTACAAAAAAAATATTAGTAAATAATGAATATATTACTATAAAAAATTTTCTGCATATGCATGTTCAGATAGTGATTCAAACTCATATACAATTCCATCATTCTTCACAATCCAGAATAATTTATCTTTTCCATGATTCAATTTCATCTTTTCCAAAAAATTTCCCATTGGTCACAAAACTTGCATCATATCCTTCCACATAAATACATGACTATAACAGTCTAAAAAAATTATTCCATAATCGATCTTCTCAATAATAATGATGTGATTGAAACCAAATTTTGCAATCCACAGAATGTATAATTTAAGTCCTTTTGGATCACCACTATCACTAGGAAGTTTATAACCAATAAAAGATACAAGATAATGATAATTAGTATCATTAACAAATGTATTGACTATCATAAGTATATTGTTACAAAATGCTTCATTTTGTTCATCACATTGATATCTGAGATATGGATTCTTGATTGCTATTAGTTTCTCTTCCTTTGATAGGGCAAGAGTGCATAAATATAAAATAATATAATTTCATCAGGATTTTTGTTGTCTACGTAATATCTTCCATAGTACTAATTTTGAATAATTTTCCAAAAGATATCTGCAATAAAGATGACTCCTCAACTAGTTACAGCTTGCAGTAGCTAATCAGAGAATTGTGATAGAGTTACAGCAGCCAATCAAAGAATTATGACAGAGTTGTAACTAGTTGCGGCTCCCATCACTAGTCTGCAGTGTGCTAATTGTTCTTTGATTAGAACAGATTCTGAACTCCATTATAATATCTTTATTATTTTTACTCTTGATGCTGGCACTTCCTTTCTCACTGTTCTATAACAAATTGACACACCAAATATGAACCTCAATATTTTCTCTTTTCATTTTGAATATATGAGATTTACTATTTGAGAATAGTATAATAAGGTTGATTCTATCTTTACTATTTTCTTGGCTAAGAGTTCTAGATATCTTGCAAAGTACTTGTTCTGCTCTTGTAGTATTGCCTTCCAAGAAGATCAACTAATGTAGTATGTCTAAAGAAGGTATATTACGTCTCATACTATTATCAATAAAATTGGTTGATAACAAGACAGACTTACTTTCTTGCCTTTTGGACTGAATAGAGTTACAATTCTCTCTGGTAATCTATACAAAAAATTGGTTTATTAAATACGTTTAAAGATAATTTTTCTATACAAAAATTTTACCTGAATAGTTGCACAAATTCTATTATAAGCACTCTCTGCTATTGTTCTTGTAGAGTATCTACCAAGCATAAAGACTTTAGAGATAGTATGATAATAATATACAAAGTGTAAGAGAAAAAAACTAAACTTAACTTAGTTTGTATTATATCATAAATAGATGATTGCATATAGTTTGCATAATGTTGTATGATATCATTATGCTATCATCAAAATTATTTGGTATTATACTGATAATATTAAAATGTATAAGGGATTTACAATTTGGTTAAGGTCTGATACTTGCTAGATTTTGTATTCATAGCGAATATAGTAAACTATAAAACAGGTTAATATGAAAAAATCAATAAAAAATAGTTATTAATAATCACAAAATAGCAATAAATAAAAGTCTAAAGTACCAGCCCTCAGGAATATCTCAGATGGTTTTATTTTAAAGATATATATATATGAATAAGTTATATAATTAATAAATAGATTAAATAAAATGTTTCAATAAATTAAGCTATACATTATTAATTTGATGTATTTCTTCTCGAACTGCTCATAATAGTTAATAATGTAATGCTAATTCTGAAGCGCAGAGACCATCAGGTTTATACATATATTCAATGAATTTACGTTATATTATTATACATGCTTGAATTTTTTTATCAATTTCTCTAGCATGTTTAATCTTTTTAATAGCATTCTGCATTCACAAGTAATATATATTCATTATCGAAATCATATCCTGAAATAGATTTTTGCTTGATTTTCATTAAATATATATCATAATTTATATCATAAAAAGAATTTCCAATGTAATGAGTAGCCTAATGCTTCTTTATTCCTATATGGTTATAATTACCTATATTTTTGGTTTGTTCTCTAATATATATAAGTTAATTACAAGAGAAACAGATAGCAAGTCCAATTTCTGGTGCATAGCTTTTATAATATTCATTGACTACAGATCAATATGTTATTAATTTTCTGACTTTAAAATATTTTCTATTATAAGGTATAAGATTATTCTCTCTGAAATATTATAAACGAGACCAAATTTGATTCATCTATTTGGTAGAAGTCTTGTTTGATAAAATAATACCCATCTTCAGGATTTCATCCATTCAGCATTGGTACAATTAGTTCCACATCTTTTACTTAAGCTAATCATTTTATATAACCTATTTGTGTAATTTATATTGAATTTAGAAATTTAGATCTATTTGATTTGGTAACTATATACTCTAGAATAATATGATTCAATTTTAGTACAGATGCTCAAAGAGCACCTCATAGGGTCTAAGTTATTAAATGAGTTGTGTATATTTATCATAGTTTGTGAGTAATATATATGATAAGACTAATCAAAATTTTAATTTATTTATGTACAATTAGGCAAGTTAACTGCTAGATAATGGATAACTGATAATAATTAATGAATTGGTAGGTGTTAGTTCATTTTAATATTGCATGTTTCATGTAGATGTATGATTAAATAGTGGTAAAGCTTACAAAAAATTAGGTCATTTAATCAGTGTATATAATTCATATGATACTGTATATAGTTGTAAAATAATAGAATTATAACTTTATTAATATATGGATTTAGATATGATATTGATATCACTGGTGCAGTAACATGATACAGTAATAATCATATTCTATTTTCCTTTTTTAAAACTTTAACTATCACATAATTAATATTTTCTTGACTTAAGTTTGAAATGTTTGATGCTGAAAATAATCTAATATCTCTTATTTTCTCTTTATCAATACTAACAAATAAATTATATATTTTTTCTGCTTGCTTCTTTCTTTTTTTCAATGCATTATTAGTGATATTATTAGAGAGTTATTTTTAGATTTCATTATTAATAAGAGCTAAGCAAGTTTGATCTCTATATTTCAGATTCTTATAATGATTGAAATATCTTTACCAAAATTAAAATAACTTTCAATAACTTCTCTATTTGCTATCTCACTTTTAGATTTAGTCTGCATAATTTTGTTATAATAATACAAAAAATTATTGATATTTTTGTTAACTTCTATTATTTTTTTAGAATTTTCAGGTATCATTAATATCAATTTCTCAATAAGTTTTTTTAATGTGAAAGAGTCTTTCTTGCTAGATGGTTTGCTGATAAATTTACTAATATACTTTTCAGACAGACTTGAGTATTAGGACAAACTTGAAAAGGGAATAGTAAATAATATCAGGAATATATCCATAAAATTATGAGTATATAGACTTCCAGGCATAGTATCAATCATAGATGAAATATAGTCTTGAGACTTTACCTCTTCTATCTCTTTCTTGTAATTAGATCTTGAATATATCAAGCATTTTTTAATGAATTTTTTGATGCAATCATAATAATATATATATTCACAGATAAGTATAGTAATCAGGATTTTTATTTCATACAAAAAAAGCTCTCAGTTATATAATGAGTAAAGATGACTTCTCAACTGTTGTAACATAATGATAAATAAAGTATCACCTAGTTGCAACTAGTTGTAACTTATAAAATTTTGGAATTGCAATATGTTTTAACAGATGATAAATAAGTATCACATACTTGCTGTACTATCTTTAATAATAAGCATGAGTCTAGTTTCAAAATATTAATACCTTCAGTAATTTTTTTTATAGATAAATTTTTTTGAATATTTAATGCAAGAGATTCAAAAGATGAAATATTAGCAAACATAGCAAGATGTATAATCAGACTAGATAAGTTTTTCATATACTTAACTCATTTTTTATATATTATACTTCTTGCGACTAACAAAACTAATTTTAGCTATTATGAAAGCTAATTTTGAATTTAGTAATCATTAATTACTTTGACTCAGAATCATTCAATATTTATAAAAAATTATAGATAGTTTCAGTCTTTTTTCTTATATATTTGAAAAAAGATTATATAGCTATTCTGCATATATAGATAACATAATGATCTGATTTTGAGCAAAAATTGTGAGAAGATAGGATAAAGATTGATATTAATTTTACAAAATAATAATAAATTAGCTTAGTTTCTTGTAATAATTCATATATTATAATAATGATCCCAAATAAAAACACCTCTTATTATCACACATAAAATTAATTATCAGAAATAAGATTATATATCTAAAAAATTAATTGTATAATATAGATTAAGATATTTAATCAGTATATTACTTTATAATATATATTATATATTATATTACAGAATAAAATTAAATATTATAGAACTTTTTATCTATAATATAATCGTATAATCTGTTATTGTAATCAAATTTCTAAAATAAAATCACATGCTTGAAAATTAATTGTGTAATATAAATATAGATGTTAGATTAGCATATATCACAGAATAAATTAGAAGGTTGTGAAACTTTTCATACATGATATAAACATATAATTCATTAATTATTATCACAAATTTCAAATCTGATTGTTCAACTCATAATATACGTATTTTCTTTATGAAAAGTTTTTTCATTATACATTATATTACTTCAGTTTTATATTCTCTGAATCTATCATTTCTATACCTAAATGAAATTAGAAATGAGCAGAAAAAGTATTTTAAAAGAACAGTATATTTGCATTATGATTATTTATTTGTTTTTTTACTTGTAATATAATAAAGCTTTTATTACTTCAAACTCGACTAATTAATATATCTGCTGATTTACAAATCAAAATTCATAATTTTTTGATTAATGTCAAAGAGCACCATATAAATATTACATCCATTATTTATCAAGATTTAGAAGAAAATCTCTGGATTTCATAAAATGAATTGAAAATAATTATAGACTGAGTTATTGATTATATTAGTAATTTGTGTCCAGATGGATCTTTGCATTAATGAAAGCTTTTTAGAATTCATTCACAGGTTAGCTATTAATTTTTTTTTACAAAATTATTTTATTATATGATGATATTATGTGATCAGTTATTAGATTCATATACTAAAAAGTAGCTCAATTATCTTATTAATCTGCTCCTAATAAATACTTGCTCAACAATAGAGGGATATCTAAGCTATAGACTATTATGTAATAATATAGTTTATCTTACTAATCTATTAATAAGAAAAATTTATCACCTATATGAAGAATAATAGGATTATCTTATTATATAGAAAATTAATATTACATAGAGTTTTATTAGCATAATGACCACATAAAAATAATAACTTTGTATATGTACTGATAATATATATATTTTTTAATAATAAGTTTTTTATTACTAAAAACTAATATATATTTATTTTTTAGTTTGAAGATGCTTTTAAGAGAATCTCTATATTATATGATCTTGGAATTATTAAAATAAATAAAGAAAAGTCTCTTAGCTTGGACCAAATTGGAAATAATATGATTGAGTTTCAAAAAAAACTCAAAAGAGATATAACTTTCCTATATCAACATTTATATTTCAGTATAAGAGCAATATCTATTAAGATGTTGTCTTGAAAAAATTCTATGACCAGTCAAGTCATCAGTAATAAATCAAAATTCATAAAGAAATTACTAGAAAATTTAAGAAAGAGATTTATGGTAAAGAATTATATGTATATTTAGTCATGTTATCTTTGTTAATACTATTAATAATATATTATTTATATTAGAAACTTGTTCATAAAATGATATCTATATCCATGCCAATGGTTCAAGAAATATGTAGAG